GAATTTATGGCTGACCAAATCAGTAACATCATAAATGAAATCGGCCCTGACAAATTTATAATCGTAGTTACTGATAATGCCAGGAACATGAAAGCCGCTTGGAGCATTATGAAAAGAAAATTTCATCATATCTCCTGCGTTGGCTGTGTGAGTCATACATTAAATTTAATATATAAAGACATTATGAATAAAATTGGTATGTTCAAAGCTATATTATATAAAGTTCACGAAGTGATTAAATACGTTAAGCAAAACCACGTGGCACTGGCAATGTTTGAAATATGCGAGGCAGCGAAGTGTGGAAATAATGCTTGATTCCTAAAATTATATTCAAAGACTCAATGGAGTGAAGCCTATATTACTATAGAATCTTATAAGAAAAATGGGGAAGCATTTACACAAATGGCTATATCACATGAGGTCGTGGTCGCACGAGGAATTAAAAATTAAATATTTGATACCGAAATATGGCTTAAGATCTTAGATTAAAACAAAAACTGAAGATACGGTACGCTCATACTAGGCATTAAATAAAATATGATCCGACTCAACTACATAAGCAACTCTCACACACGCACACGTCTGTATATAAACATTCAATCGATCGAGCGAGACAGCACTGTACGCTTCAACGCAGCGCGAGCGAAACGGTGAATCCGCTTCCGAGTCCGTACGGCTGAGCTGTATTGTTGGCCTTTTCTTGATAAACCATGATTTTTTAGAAAAAATGATTTTTACAGTTTTACGAATGAAAAGTGTTGCCGAGGCATTTGTTATTTGATTTTGAACTATTTGTGTTCTTTATAAAAGCATCGAAGGCATTGTTTTATCTTTATAACATAGAATATACGCAATATTGTTATATTGAGTGCACATGCAGCGTGTTGGAATGTCCAATAGGGAAGTTGCAAATATAATATTTACGAAAAGGACATGGCTAAGAAACTGCCCTTAACGTGTATAAATATTTCGCACTAGCCAGTAACTTTAAAATATTTTTTATTAATTATTACTTGTTTATTATTCTCATACAACTTTCGTGAAATAATCAAATCTTTAAAAGTATAAAAATTGACTTCATGTCTGTTTAAAAAGTAAAATGTTCCGTTTTACAAAATAAATAAAATAATAATAATAATAAAATAAAATAAAATATTTTAACAATTAGTACAAAAATAATAACTTAAAAGTACAATTTTAGCTTAGGTATAACAAAAGAAATGAACAATAAATGTACAGAAAAAATATTTGAGTAAGTATATCGAAATAAACAATATTATTTCGAAACTCCTTCAAAATATGACATATTTGCCCCTAATTTTTATCAAAACCAATCACTGAGGCCTAAAATAATAGATTTTATTATTCTAATGAGGCTTGAGACAAGGCTGTATGATAATTAATCCTTTAATTTTTGCAAATGAACAAAATAAAACTTCACGGATTTCCTGTCAGGCCGACGATAACAAACTATTTGTATTTATTTTTGCTTTAAAAACACTTTTTGTGAAGAGTTAGTCAGAGAAATGGGAAGAAAGATTCTAAGAAAATGCGAAATTGATGACTGTGTAAATAATTGGCAACATCTTTTATCAACTGTAGTAAGGAAATGACATAGTAGGAGTTCTCATAATTTTCAAGACTGTGACTTTATCAAAAGTTCCTGAACCTTTTTTCATAGAAATTATAAAGGCTCAGCTTTCCATTAGTTGTGGTTGAGTAGCGAGCTAAAATTTTTGTCACGGAAAGTATTAATTTAGAAACACACCCACGAAATCTTTCTATACGGAAACGAAAAGAACTCGAGAAAAAAAATATTGAAAATTAATATTTTTGTAGGTTAAAGTAAATTTTGACAGCAATTTTTGATCAGTGCTACCATTTTTTCATGCAGAAATAATGTTTTTCGTTGTCTGTGGTAAAAAATATGTTAATTATGTTGGTACTATTGTCAAAATGACAGATGTCTCGCTATTTTGTGTTTGTTTTGACATCTGTCAGTCAGTCTTTGTGTTCGTCGCAGTTGAGAGCGTTTTCGTACTCCTGTTGATATTTGCATCGTCTGACTACCGAGGCATCCTCAAAGCCCTCGTCCTCGAGTTCTGCTGTCCCTTCGCCTGAAGAGTCGAGTGTAGTGCGAGTTTTGGACTCTAATGAGCCGCTTGTGTCGAACTCCTCTCAGTGCATTTGTGTGAGCAAGTGTTGAACTCTAATGAGCCACTTGTGCGCCCTGTCGGTGAAATGGAACCCATTGCTGGGTGCTCCTCGTCAGTACCTCGTGTGCAGAGCGATGAGCCCATTGCTGGGTGTTCTACCACCGCTGATATTGCTCCAGATGGATTGTCCGAGTTCTCAGGTAAAAATTATATATGCTATTATTTACTTGGTAAATAAAAAATAGTATAGGCTCAACACTGAGAAGAAAAGGTAAATGTGGCTTTACAACAACCTTTAATTCAGAACTGACTTGGTCAACCCCGACACGCCGTGGTCTTGTTCTGTCCTACCCCTTGTGTTTTTTAAAGCCCGGAGGCACGGAGGGAGATCAGCCCCCGCCTGCTATGACAAAGCCGCAAGGATGCTTGTGACTTTGTCACGCAAAGGCGGAGGGGCTGCTATTCCCGCAGCGCCGGAGATAAGGCAGAAGTACTGGTTTTTACTTCCCTAGTCCTTGCATCCCACAAAATAACCATAAATTCTGAAATTATCTGATTTTCTTTAAAACTACACTGTAATATTAATCTATTTTTGCTCTATCTTATTAATTATTATATTTGTATTCATTTCAGATGAGGTTTCAGCTCAATCTGGATCTTCTGGAAGGCGAATACACTTATACTCAGAAGAAGTTCGTTTACAGTGGAACTTGCGGAAAGTTCATCAAACATTTGCTACGCCTGATGATTGTATTCGGTTTGCGGAGGAGAATGAACTTATGCCTCGAGAGAAAATGTGTGCTCATCACAGGAGTCCAATGAAATTGGTGCGAATTTCCCAAAATGTTGGAACATTTAGGTGTTATAAATCTAACTGTCGCAGTAAATCTTAAAGCCAGGCTCTAGGAGCCTGGTTTGAACAAGCACGGTTACCCATAACAACGACGTTTGAGCTAATGTATTTATTTGCACACAATGCAACGTATGAAGACGTGCGACGTGAGACTGTGAATTTTGAAAAAAATATAGTCTTATCATTCAGGACAATAGCTGATTGGTTCAGTTATTGTCGAGAAGCAATTGTTGTCTATGAACTGGAAAAACAAGAAGAAAGACCAATGATCGGTGGCCCTGGCAAAATCGTCCAAATTGACGAATCAAAGTTTAGAAAACGTAAATGTAACAGAGGACGTCATATTGAGGGCCTCTGGGCCATTGGTATGGTGGAGGATGGGAGTGACGATTTAAGGATTGAACTTTGTCCCGATAATGAGCGGTCAGCGGAGATATTAATACCCATTATCAAAAAACATGTTCGGGAGGGCTCCATTATCCATACAGATTTCTGGAAAGCATACAATTGCTTTCCCGAACATGGGCATGGGTGGTCGGGGGGCTGAAGGGGGGTTACACCTCCCTCTGAGATTTCAAGAATTTTTAAGTTAGGTTAATAATAATTACGAATTAAAAATGACTTGAAACAAAACGTATTTTAAAACTCCAATCAGCGTTTAGTGACGTCACTCCTCTTATGACATCTTATTTGAGGTTATGGTTGTAAAAGTGAATATTATTTTATGGGAATATTAATTGCATTTTTTTAATAAAAATAAAAGTTGGGTTTATCAAAGCAGACTCTAGGAATTTACCAAGAGTTAGTGTTGACATGGTTGTAACTTTTTTTGTCCAAAGTGAGGAGTATTCAAGTGTAGAGTATTCAAGTGTAGAGTATTCAAGTGTAGAAATGAAAGGGACTAACTTACTACGGTATGTATAAATCATAGTTGATAAACTTTGTATTTTATTCAGCGGCTTCTACACATACCAGCTATTATTTCACCTCAACAAGAGAATCTTACGGCGATAACGCAATCGGCTATGTCCAAATTAAAAGAGATGGAGAATTATGTACAGTAAAAAGTCGAGTTACTCCGGAGCATAAAGTACGTAAAGAAGGTTATCGTGTTACAGTTATTTTAAATGAAACGCAAAGCTTGGTTCAGTCCTGCCAATGTGTAGAGTGTGCCACATACACACATCAAAAGTGTCTAGGGATCAACATATATTTTTGCAATAACTTTTCTCCTGATTGATATTAATTAAAATTTTCTTTAAGGATTCATCAAATAAAGTGTTTTCGTTTGTCACAGTAACGATAAACCAAGTCACCTTTGCATTAATAAAGAAATTTGCCATTTTCCTAATAAAGGGATTTTTGACATTTGAACCACTAACACAAAAGTTCGAAAAAAAGACTGAAATAACAGTTTTCTCTAAAATTTTATTGGGTAACTTAAACAATTAATAATCCGTATTTCTACCGCGAACACTAACAACACAAGAATATCGGTTTGGCATACTCAAAATGAGTTCATCCAAATCACGCTGTGGAATGGCCGCCCATGTTCGTTGCAACAACAAAAAAAGGTCTTCTTGCGACTGGATACCCTCCATATTCGGCAGAGCTCTTCTCAGTAGCATATCCCATGCATGCTCAATCGGGTTCAAGTCTGGCGACTGAGCAGGCCAGGGCAGGACATTGATGTTAGCTGCGGCGAGAGTCTGTCTTACAACTCTTGCGGTGTGCGGTCGTGCATTATCATGCATTAACTGAAATAAGGGACCGATTTGCACTTGTAGAGGAACGATGACGTCTGATACAATCGTCTCAGCATAAATTTGAGCGTTGAGGTTGCCTCTGATCCAAATCAACTCAGTTCTTCCGCCGATCCAAATACCCGCCCATACCATGATGGTTCCACCACTATAAGGATGGACTTCCTGGCAGGATTTTAATCGCTGTTGGCGTCCAGGGGTTCTCCAGTGTCGTATACGTCTTGTATCTAGGGATTGCAATGCTGGATCCGCAATCCAGCAATCCAGCTGGATCCAGCGCCTTTTTTTGCCTGCTGGATCCAGCACCCGGTGCTGGATCCAGCAATGCGGATCCGCATTTTCAAATAATGGCGCGAAACTGCGCAACCGACCGCCGGCGTTGCGTTGCCGCTCCGTTCGTGGTAGGAGCGACGTTGCCGTTCATTCGCATTCATTTGTGACTGTTGTGGCCTTGGTTGTGGCACGTGCTACCCCCCTCTCTACGCCGCACTGCCCACCCTTGACCCGTGCTGAACTGTTCTAGCGCGCTCAGTCGTGAGTTGACTTTTGCTATGTAATAAAGTGACTTCACGCTAAATGTCTTCTTCGCTCAGTTAAGTTCTATGTCGTCTGCGTGTTTTGTAAGTAATTCAAACTTTAATTTAAATTTTACGCCCATAAACATAATAAATGTAATCAGTGATCGTGTTCACGGCCTGGGTGGGAGTCGTGGGACTGTGAAAATCAAAACATAAATGAGAGTCAAGGCGTTTTTGTTTAATTCAGTATTAAATAAAGAGGTGAATTAGTGTACTTATAATAAAAGTCAGCTAATTTACTACATTTTCTATCTATTTTCTGATTACTTTTGCTTTCCCGCCGGCACGTCTCGGTCGGATTTTCAGTAAAATTAACTTGGACTCACCGTCTACACTACTCCCCATACCTACATCGAATTACTGAACTGGTTACAGCTTGGTCATCCTAACCTAAATCGAACGGCTAATAGAATATTCATTAAGTGAGCATTATGTTACAGTTTTATGACTTAGTGTTAATGTAATACTGCTGGACAACTTTCTACTATGATTACTTACTACTAAATGGGTATTTAATTGATTTTTTACACTTTTCAGATTTCAAGCCTAATTTCCAGAGTTCGCCAACATTTTTAATACAGACCTACATAAAACAATACATTAACTTCAGGATTCGAACTCGTAAACAAATAATAGTATTGATAAATAATAATGTCTCTTTCGAAGCCAAGTCTGCAAAACGAATGCGGTGAAAGTGATGATGAAAAAAAATTATTATGGGACTACTTCGAAAAAAATAATGATGGTCGAAGTGCCAAATGCTCTTTATGTTCAAAAACTCTGCTGATTAGTAACCGTTCATCAACAGGCTTAAAGGGCCATCTACAAAAGATACATTGCGTCAACGTTACTTCTGCATCGAGTTCAAAAGCAAACAGTAGATCATCAGTTTGTAACAAAAATACAGTAGTTCCCACAGCAACCACGTCTAAAAATGACGACGACCAGGAGGTTATTATTGTGCCGAAAAAGAAGGCTAAGAAAACTATTGATGCCTATTTTGTAAAAGAAAATTCGATGGAAGCTATGGTTACCAGGATGGTGTGCAGGGATGGTCTTACGCTGAGTTCATTTTGTTCATCTTCCGATTTGAGACGTTTATTTTCCAAAAGTGGATTCCAATTACCGAATTCTCCCAACACTATAAGGTCGATAATTACCGACTTTGCCAACGCTGTTGAAGCAGATTTAATAATAGAATTCGCAAATTTAAAAAAACAAGGACAAAGATTTTCGTTGAGCTTTGATGAGTGGACTTCCCAAAAAAATCACAGATATATAAATCTCAACGTGCACCATAAAGAGACTCATTTCAATCTTGGCCTGATCAGAATACACGGATCCTGTACTGCTGAACACTGCATTACATTAGTGTCACAAAGGTTGAAAAAATTTGGTTTAAACTTGGAAACCGATATCATTGGTATCACTACTGATGGCGCGAGCGTGATGGTAAAAGTTGGTAGACTCTTACCTTGTTATCAGCAACTCTGCTTCGCGCATGGGATCCAGTTAGCTGTGGTAGATGTTCTCTACAAAAAAAAAACTCAACCAGAAGAAATAAAACACACAGAAATAGACGAAGATGACGCTGACGAATATGAAGACGAAGAAACGGAAGCCAATGAACGTTTAGAAGTAGTGATTCAATCAACACCGGCTGATGTAATTCCTCGATACAACGAACTTCTCAAAAAAGTGCGAAAAGTTGTTAAGACTTTCAGAAAATCACCGACCAAGGATGACATGTTTTTGCAAAAATATGTAAAGGAAGAGAAGGGCAAAGAATTGAGTCTGATTCTAGACTGCCAAACTAGGTGGAGTAGTCTGTTTGTAATGCTGGAACGGTTCTACAATTTGAAAAATTGCATCGATAAAGTGCTAATAGATGCCGGCTCCGACACCAAAATCTCCGCTGACGAGTGGTCACAAATCAACGAATTAATTGCCTGTCTTCAACCAGTTAAACTGGCCGTAGAAGTTCTATGTAGAAGAGAGTCAAGTTTGGCAACTGCTGATACGAACCTAAAATTTGTGTTAGACAAACTCAAAGGCCAAGACACTGCCTTGAGTGCTGAGCTTTCCGAGGCACTCCGAAAAAGAATTGGAGAACGGCGGCTTAACGAAATCACAGGGTTGCTGATTTACTTACAGAAGCCAAAGAAGTATGAACAAGAAGTTAGAAAGCCCGATGATACTTTCACGATGCCTAAGAAGAATGTGTTGCGTCAGGAGATGAAAAATATGCTGAATCGTGTAAATGAAGTAGCGGAATCGGCAGCCGAAGTGGAAGAAGAAGTAATGGAAATAGATAACGTGGACGAAAATCTTACATTAGAACAACAACTAGCTTTAGAACTGAAGCGTGAAAAAGAAAGTTTTATAAAACCGAAAACAAATGTGAAGGACTATGACAAAAATTTAAAAAAAGAGATGAGCTTATTCGAGACTGAGGGTGTCAGAGGTGAGAATCTATCCCTCATTTATGATTTCCTCATGACCCTGAAACCAACCAGCGTAGAGGCAGAAAGGGCCTTTTCCGCAGCCGGATATATATGCAGCAAATTAAGAAGTAGATTAACAGACAAAACTATAAATACCATTTGCTTTCTGAGAGCCTTTTTCCATAAAACCCAGAAAAAGTAAAAGCTACCTATGAGGTAGATTTTATATGTCAATATTCTTATTTAGTTACCTAGTAGAGTCAACTCAAGTCACGACAAAGGCAAAGGATAACATTTTAAGTGTTTAAGGAGAAACGACAAATGATAATGTTTTAATTATAAGTTCTATTTTCAGCATAATGACTTCTAATTTTAAGTTTTTAAATTCTAAAGAGTTTTTAATTCTAATTTTATTTCAGTTATTTTTTTGTAGGTCGACTGGTCTAGGATTTTTTTATTTTGAACTGAAACTACCTAATTAGTTAGCCTGGCCAGGGTATTATGTCAAGTCAAGGTCAAGATTCAAGTACCTAAGATTTATATGATTATTCATAATTGTGATAATTAGCTAAATAGTAACTATTATATTGCCTACCTAAACTCCTTACTGACATTTCGAATTAAATAGCTTAATATCTAAGTTATCTTGCGAGTTGCGAGTTCAGCTCAGACTGAATATTCTATTTTTATAATTTATGATTATAATGTTAATTTAGTCCTAACCAGCCATGTAGAGTCTAAGGAAACTGGTAAGACTGACACATGTGCCATTGATTAGTGATAATAGTGATTGATTATCCGTCCTTTCTGTTACCTATTACAACAATAAATAACATTTTGATAATTCTAATAAAACGAAGTGTGTTAATTATCTTAATATTAAATATTAAACCGAACCAAAAAGTTAAGTCTATTACATAAATGTGTAAAAAGCCTTTTTTGATTGGTCTTAACCCGAAACAATGAAAAAAAACGATTTTTTTCAAGCAAAACCGAATCCAGCTGGATCCAGCGCGAATCCAGCTGGATTTGTGCCAGTCCAGCAAAAATCCAGCTGGACCAAAAATGCTGCTGGATTGCAATCCCTACTTGTATCCGGTCTCATACCAAAACGAGACTCATCAGAAAAGCACACGAAACGCCATTGTTCTTCTGCCCAATTTCTGTGTTCAAGAGCCCATTGATATCGAATCCTACGATTGTGCATTGCTATAGGTGGTACCCGTAGCGGTCTTCGGGAATGAAGGTTCACTTCATGCAAGCGGTTTCTGACTGTTTGGTCGCTAATTAAGTTCCCTGAAGAGTGATGAAGCCTCACGGCTAACATCATGGCGGTTATTGTTGGAGCTCTTCGAGTTAAGATTTGAATGTATCGGTCTTGTCTCCGTGTGGTGCAGCGATACCGTCCTCCATGGCGCTCAGCCACGGTACCAGTGCTTCGGTATCGTGTCCAAAGTCGACTGATAACACTCTGACTTGTATTCAGAGCTAAAGCCACAGTACGTTGCCAGGAACCAGCTTCTATCATTCCCACGGCTCTGAGCATTTCTTCCCTGCTTAAATGACGTCGCCGCTCCATAATAACGTTGGTTTTAATCAGTAGTAGGGAAACAGTAGCACTAATAATGTCTTCAATGCGTTGTATGTTTTTATAGGGAAAATATTGACAGCTGATTTTCATCTTTTACTCGAATTTGATTCACAGTTCCTGATTCAAATTATGAAATGCACCAAAAAGGATCCATATAAATTTATAAAATCATAAATTTATTACAAAGCCACATCTCAATCTCAAGAAATCCGCATAAAAATGCTTGATCCCTAGACACTTTTGATGTGTGTATTTTAAACTTTATCCTATTTTCGACGTCATTCTCCAACTGTAATATTAAAAATATGTTATAGACAGGTTTTGTAAGTATTAGGTAGGTTACTAACGCGTTTTTACGTACAAGGAGATTAATTAAGCGTAATTATAACAAGTATATTCGCCGACTTACGTCAAAGTGATCTTCACAGCATCGAATTATGGTCTTTGGAGAATAATTGTCATTCCTCTTCGTAGCTTGAAACCAATTTTTTCTCAGTTTTGGGTCAGAAGGTCCAGTCAATTTATTAAACTTTGTTGAAGTAGATGGACACATTGACACAAAACATGAGTCAACACGTTTTAATGGTATTAGTAGTATTGTTATTGATCACCTGATGTTGATGGATAGTCCATTTTAAATTTTTACTAAAAATATCTCGAAAGTCGAAAAAATATGCAAAAGTATGAAAGCCAGCGACGAACAAGTACGACCAGTGACAGACAGGAGTGACGTCATCGGAACCATAGGTCCGTTTTCGCGCCAAAATTGAAACTGTCAATTTTTTCCGATAAATCACAATATATTATTTTTTTAATATATCTGTGGTTTTTTCTACATGGAATTCTTTAAAATGAAAACGAAAACAAAAATATTGCATCTTCCCTATTGTGACTAACAATTTAAGCGGATCACTTTTGAGCCGCGAGTACCGTATCTTCCCTTTTTGTTTTAATCTAAGCTTAAGATTGATCAGATTTTGAGCATATTGCAACCGCTTGCGATGGCCGTCTTTTCTTCAGAGAGTGACAAAACATTGCTAACAATGTTTTTTTCATTTAATTTTTAATTATTAAATTAAATTTTTCAAAATAAAAAATAAATGTGGTGTAATGTTCACTTATAATGTTTTTTTTTAGATTTAAATGACAAGAATCTCATTACACAGCATATTGACAGTCGAAAAGAATGTTGTATGCAACCAATACATATCGCCTCTACTTGTTACACCGAAGTTGTTTATAAGGCATCTGAATATATACAGCCATATTGTGTGACAAGTGGTTAAGATGACGTAAGTTTTATCCAGAACGGCAGAATTTAAAACTAAAGTGAACTTTTTTGGTGAATCAAAGCAATGAGTGGAGTCCCGCGAAAAAACTAGAGCCGAGAGTATGCCCAAGCTATGAATCTCGACTCGAAGAGAGAACTTCAAATACATATATCTTTTAGCCGGATTAGCAAGTTGAAGTGGCCGTACCGTTGGGGTAGACGAGTTCTGGAGTGGAGACCGCGTCTAGGCAAACGTAGTGTAGGACGTCCTCAGGCACGATGGAGTGACGATTTGCGCAAGGTGGCTGGCAGGAGCTGGATGCGAGTAGCCCAAGATCGATCTGAATGGCGTGCAATTGGAGAGGCCTATGTGCAGCAGTGGACTAGGATAGGCTGTTGATGATGATGATGATATCTTTTAACATACCGCACCACTCCTTATTCAACCACTGGGGTTCCTCCTGGAGATATTTTCAGAGGACGATAAATAAAAACTAAGATACCAGAAATAAGAACAGAATTTCGTCTATGTGATGAGCAAATGGGAGATAATGACAGATACAAAAAGGATTCATAAAAGCAATATGCAGATAAAAGAAGGCATGCTCAAGAATTGAATTTACAGCCTGGTGATTAAATACTGATACGTCAAAAGAAGGAAAACAAATTGAGTACACCGTTTTTACCTAATCAACACTGTGGAAAGCTGGTAACTCAGTCGCCGTCCAATCCCCTGAAGGAAAAATAGTAAAAAGAAACTCTTCGCACTTCAAGCCTGCAAAGAAGAGAGATCCAGACAGACTCAGGAAAACTCATGAAGAAGGAAATAGTATGCATAGGAAGAAGATTGTAGAAGAAGAAGCAGAAAAAAGTGGGACATTAGATTTGACAGACAAAGAAAATCATGACTTGACAAACACTATGAATAAACCTCAGAGAGAGCGACGTTTACCTCCTAAGTATAATGACTTTCTTCAGGGTCTTATTATTGATACTCTAAAATAAAAAAAACTAGCCGTAGGTCTTAGGTGCATTAACTACAATCTTTAAGTTTGTACTTAATGATACCAAGGATAGATAAAACAAATATTTGTAATAATATTGATTAATATATACAAATACATATTTAATTTAAGAAATCTAAGTTTATTATGACTGTCTTTGTTGTAATATGATAGCAGGATACAATGTTATAAAACATTATTTCAGTAAAATATGTGATTTGTTTGCTCTCTGTTTGTTGCTATAAATTTAATTCAGTTGTCTATTATTTTGAACTACGTATATTTTTATTTTAATGAAAGGGAGGGATTGAAGAGTTATGAAACGGAACGTGTCTGAATATGACAGCTGTCATATAAGTAGCTTTTAGCGCTCTTTTACTTGTCATCTAGGAGTAAAGAATAAAGCAAGTGTTTTATTAAATTCGTGTTTAATTTAGTGCACAGAACAATATACTCTCTACGAGAGAAAAATGGCAACTCCCTAATAAAAAAAAGCAAACACAGCATTATTCATGTATACGCTAGCGCCACTGCGGCCTGTCAGTAAAAACAATGCGAGCGGGAAAATTCGAATTGGTTTCAGAGAAAATTTTATTGAATGATCCTGGAAAAAATACTGAATGCACAGCAAAAAATACAATTGCCATTCTTAAGTTGGCAATTATTGTAGTTTTTGCTGTGCATTCTGTATTTTTTCGAGGACCATTTAAATGTTACTAAAAATGTATGAAATTTGAAATTTAAGGAAAGTGTAGTTTCCAATTTCTCCATCTTATTAAGGACTTCTCATCACGCTTTAAATTTCATTTCCTTTCATTACCACAGGGTAATCAAAAACAAATAGAACAAATTATGCAGGGTAATCATTTATTTCTAAGGATTGCTAATTTTCTTTCCAAGGCCTTCTTTTTCTCCTCTTCATCTATTTCTCTATTTTTGGTTATTGTAAATCTTTTAATAAATATGTAAAATGTACTAGATTTTACGTGATTTTTATTTTTTTCTAAATGAATTTGTCAATCATTCAAAAATGAAATATCTACAATGTCTAGTGCAGCCAAGATATTATTTTTAATATTTTCTGTCCAAGTATTATCTTTTAAATATTGGTATATAAGAGTGGCCATTGTTTCCACACATTCAATAAAAGCTTTACTTGTATAATTTAATGCGTTATTTGAGCCATATTCTTTAAAGTTCGTAAATATGTGTATGGTTTCTATATTTTCAGTCAAAAATACTTTTTTGCAATCTTGGCAATCATTATGCCGGAGTTTTTTATATATAAAACCACACACATATGCACAAGCTTGACCCTCTGGTGTCGCTTCTTCTAC